ACAGCTAAGATGCTGAACAACAGTTCAATCTGGAGCTGGGCTGCAGTGAGTTGCCGGCAGCCAGCGTGAGCGGCCAGCAGCCGCTGTGAGCGGCCATCCAGAAGCCGGTGACTGATCTGCCTCACCCTGGAAGAGCGCAATGCTGGTGCCAACTTGGGCCAGTAAAGCAACGTCCTCCTCAACTAGACTGAAGAACAAAAAATGACAGCGACTTGTCTGTTCCCCTTCCCCAATTCCCCAGCGCTGTTCCCATCCCCCCAATTCCCCAATTAAAAAAATAATAATAAATTTTAAAAAATAAATAAGAGGGCCAGCCAAATGGTTCAGTTGGTTAAGAGCTTGCCCAACAGTGCGAGCTCTAAGCAACAGGGTCACTGGTTCGATTCCCACATGGGCCAGTGACGCTGCGCACTGAGCTAAGCTGCAGCTGAGCTGCCAACAGGTGGCTGAATGGCTTAGCTGGTGAGAGCATATGCTCCTAACAACAAGGCTGCCAGTTTGAATGGTGGACTATGCCCACCCGCAACTAAAGACTGAACTTGGCACCTTGAGCTGAGCTGCCACCAGATGCCTCAGTGGATAGAATGTGCGCTCTTAATAACGAGGCTGCTGGTTCAACATGGGATGGTGGCTACGCCCACCCGTCACTAATTGAACACAGCACCTTGAGCTGAGCAGTGTGACTGGCCTTGGAGTTGAGCTTGCTGTGCCCTCCACAACTAAGACTGAAGGACAACAACTTGGCTGTTTCCCTTCCCCAATTCCCCAACACTGTTTCCCTCCCCCAATTCCCCAATTAAAAAATCTTAAAAAAATAAGTAAATAAAAAATAAAGAAGAAATTGTAATTGCTTTTTACCTCTTTCATGTCTTCATAGAATAAGTAAAGGATACGATAATCTTTCCTCTTTTCCCACCAGCCTTTCACATGGTCATACCAAGAACCAAACGCCACTACATTTAAAGATAAAATGTTTGCAAAATTAAAACTATGTACATGAAGTAAAAAATTGTTAAATGTTATTCCAAGTCATCATTATCAACAAATACACACTGTTTTCTTATTAGTTCAAAAAAGAGAGATGATAGTATTAGGGAAGTATATTGAATAACCCCTACTCTCACTGAATTCACAATCTACTTAGACAGGAAGAAATACTTCCACTGTAAGATGAATTGTGTCCCCTCAAAATTCTTATGTTGAAGTTCTCACCCCCAGTACTTCAGAATATGATTGAATTTAGAAATAGAACCTTTAAAGAGGTAATTAAGTTAAAATGAGGTCATTAACATGGGTCTGTAGGGTTTCAGAATGAGTCTCCCCAGTATGTGCCACTCTGGCATGCAGATTATTTCAAGCTAAAAATAATCAAGGCTCAAAACATTTAGGAAGAAACTCTGGCCTTCCTCTTCACTGTGTAAAATAATTTAAGACAGCAGATGTCTCCAGGAAAATAAATATTATCATAGATAACTACAGCTTAATCTGAACAGGTAGACAAGGAGAAACCTAGCTATGCCCATTTGATGGAAGACCTCCCTGTGTCCCACTGTTTCAGGATGGCCCAGAAAACATGTGTTTACTAAACATTAACTCTTTTCATTCCCTGTACATTTGCCGTGTCCCCCCGTTTCCCCCTCTTTGGTCCAGAATGCCATATGTACCTCATTTTGCCTTACCGTCTTTGGCATGTTCATGTTTATGTGACTCCCCCATGTATTAAAACTTGATTTTCTCTTGTTAATCTGCCTACGTAATTTTAATAATTCTACCAGCCAGAAGAACTAAGAAGGAAAGGGAAATGTTTCCTTATCTCCAAGATCCTAATCAAATATGACTGGTCTCCTTAGAAGGAAAGGTAATTATAACCCAGAGAGGCACAGAGAGAATACCATGTGAAGACAGAGAGAGAATATGGCCATTTACAAGCCAAGGAAAAAGGCCTCAAAAGAAATAATCATGAGGACACCTTCATCTTGGACTTCTAACTCCCAAAATTGTGAGAGAATAAATTTCTGTTTAAGCCACACAGTCCGTGGTACTTCGTTGTGGCAGCCCTAGCAAATGAGTACAACTTCTGTTAAATAAAACTAAAACTACAAGAGCAAGATGGCAGAGAGTAATGCAGACAAGAAGTAGTATGGAAGTCAAAGGAGAGGGAAAGAGGGAGAGAAAACAATGGGGCGAAGAGGTTAAGAAAGGGCTGTGGAGGAAACAGAGTGCATCTGGTTCTGAGAAGAGTTAGGCACTGATAATATTCTAAGAATGAATAGACATTCTATAGACAGCGAATAGTCCAAACAATGGCAGGAGTAAAAATTTGCAAGATACCATTGAGACAGCTTTGCCTTGAAAAGATACTTTCTATAGGAGAATGTTTATATGACAATTATAAGTATAGTTACTACCATGGATACAAGTGATGTTTTCCTGAAATAGACGATACACGGATACAAAAAAAGAGCCTGAGGATATAAACTTCATTCAAGAAATTTAGTTTACAGAATAAAAGTGGAGGAATGGTAAAGAAAAGAGAGTCCAAGAAATATGTATAAAATCAAAATAATATGACATGGACAGCAAGAAAAGAAAGTACCCAGCAGTAGTCACCAAGTACTAAGAACCAATGAGACTAAGGGCTAAAAAATCTGTGTGCCACGTATTTCCCCAAGACCCTTAAAGAGGAAAACTGACTATGTGTTCTGCTGCTCCTATTGTCTTCCTAATGCATTAGTAAAGTGTGGGACACATATTAGGTTTATAATGAATACAAAAGTTTATATCTGAACTATCTTCTTGCAAAAAAACTTTTCATTATGGAACTCCATGATTAAAATAAAAGATGGTCTCACCCTTCCCAGTCATGAATTTATCCAGGAACTCTTCCCAGGTACCAGGGTCTGGGTGAATTTTTGCCATTTTGTAGAAATAATAGTAAGACACAACCACATCTTTAGCATTGCGTGCAACATAGATCATCTGTGGAGAGATAAGGGAAATCATAATTTTGTCTTTATTCTTTAATAGTTTGTAAACCTTTGCTTACCTTGACAGACTGCTTATTTTCTCTTTCTTATTTCCTGATCTGGGTGTTCATATCTATATCCTCACATAGGATATTCACAACACAAAGATTTCTCATCTCTCACACCACCATGTTCTCTTTAGCCTTTGAAAAGAACATCTCTTGAAACATGGAAAACCAAGTATCATAAGGCTTACAGTAAATATTAAATTAACAAACATTGATATTATTCTCAAATTTAGAATATTTTCTGTAGCATCACTTATTAAAACTAATAAAAAGAAACAGCATTTTTTAAAACTAAAAAAAGTCCTACTTTCCCTTAAAAATAAGTTATCATTTGGGTAAATTTAGTCAGTAAAGATTAAACATTCTGTCCATGATCATGGCTATGTAACAATCATTATGTTTATAATAATTGGTATGAGATTAAAATTTACTTTATGTTGAAGCTCTCAAGTCTGCTTAAAGGCAGAAATTTTGAACATATTTCCCAATAGACATGACATTGTTATACCTCACTGGTAATTAGGTTTTCAGTCAAGTCCACTGAAATCCATTAAGCCTACTTTCCCCCTGAAGCACACCTAATAATACTGAGGCTCCAGCCACCCATGCAGTAAATATATTTCTAAGGGAAAATGCATTTAGGGAGAAATCTCCTTTTATTTAATAGAAGCAGAGCTTCCTTCTTCTTTTATTTTAAATTAAAGTTTATTGGGGTGACAATGGTTAGTAAAGTTACATAGGTTTCAGGTGTACAATTCTGTAATACAGCATCTATATATCACATTGTGTGTTCACCACCCAGAGTCAGTTCTCCTTCCATCACCATATATTTGATCCCTTTTACCCTCATCTACCACCCTCCTCCCCACTTACCCTCTGGTAACCACTAATCTATTGTCTATATCTGCAAGTTTTTGTTTCTTTATTTGTTTGTCTTGTTCCTTTGTTGTTTTCAGTTTTATATCCCACATGTCAGTGAAATATGGTTCTCGACTTTTTCTGTCTGACTTATTTCGCTTTGTATAATAATCTCAAGATCCATCCATGTTGTCACAAATGGCACTATTTCATCTTTTCTTATGGCAGAATAGTATTTCATTGTGTATATATACCACATCTTCTTTATCTGATCATCTATCAAAGTACACTTTGGTTGTTTTCATGTCTTGACCACCATAAATAAAATGCAATGAACATTGGAGCACATATATCTTTAACAATCAAATTAAAAAGTGGGCAGAGGACCTGAATAGACATTTCTCTAAAGAAGACATACAGATAAACAATAGACATGTGAAAAGATGCTCAACATCACTAATCATCAGAGAAATGCAAATAAAAATCACGAGATATCACCTCACACCAGTTAGAATGGCTGTCATCAACAAGACAAATAACAACAAGTGTTGGAGCAGCTGTGGAGAAAAAGGAACCCTCACACACTGTTGGTGGGAATACACATTGGTGCAGCCTCTATGGAAGGCAGTGTGGAGCTTCCTCAAAATATTAAGACTAGAATTACCATATAACCCAGCAATCCTTCTTCTGGGTGTCTTTCCTTCTTCTTTTCCAGCTGATGGGAAAAGGAAATGAGAACTTTTACATTCCTATCACTGGTAGTAGTTCTCACTTTCTGGGAGAAGAATGGGGAGAGGAAGGGAGGGACTGGAAAGGACTTTTTCAAAAGGTTGATTATAGGGTTCAGAGTTGAGACTCTGTTGCTGATGTTATTTCTTGAGCAAATTCTAAATAAACCTTATAAACATTACCAATTATTTCTTATTTCAAAACCAAGAGACTATGGTAATGAACCAACTGTTTTCTTTTCCTATCTTCATCACCTTTAAATTCCTTAGTGAGGTCTGTTTGCACTTGCCTTATTGTGGACATAAGGCAATCTGGAAGATATCTCCCAGTTCTCTTCATAGCAAGGTCATGTGTTTCTGGGGGCTTCTATGAATTTTTATTTCTGGAATTAAGATTATGAATTTTATGTATACTTTCTTATCACTTTTGTTTTTAATTAGACTATGAGTAAAAAGGGAAGTCACACATAAACACATGTACAAGGACTTTGTGAATAACAAGGTTGACAGTATAATCAATCAAATTTTCAAAAGGAAAACAATGGCTGTTTTGGTCATTCTATTAAAGGTGCTGTGGTAAAAGGCATACTATAAACATCTTTCTCAGATCTAGGGCTGGAGACTGCCTACCTTCCCAAATTCATTTTTTGACTATACTGAACCACTTGTAAAATTTGATACAAGTCTTGGTGTTTCACATGTTAGCCTATGTACATGTAGTTTTCTTTCTGTAAAATATCCTTGGGCATCTGAAAAACTTCTACTCTTTCTTTACAATGCTGATTTAGTTTTTCTTCATCTGTGAGATGGCATTGTCCCATAGAATCTTTTTTACATCCTGTATTATCATTTATCTTACTAACATGTAATTATTTTTCATATATATGTATATATATATATTTCCCCCCCCCGCTACTTGAAGTATTCTGCAGGACCATATGTTATATAGGACAGAGATCATTGACTATTTAACTATTACATAATATGTCATAGAAAATTGACTGGCAAGAAAAGTTTAATATTATTTGTAGAAATTAAATAAAATAACATGCTCTTAGATGGCAGAGAATATCTTATTTATGTTTACATTTATAATGAAAATCACAATATCTGTTACATACATGGTAGCACTTCCATAAATGTTCACTGATTATATGCTTGTTGAATGATTTGCTTATAAGAAGTTGAGACAGAATTCCAAGGAGAAATAAATTATAGTCAGATTTCAATATACTTTTCTTAATAACTGATAGAAAAATATGAAGAATGGGAAAGGTGACACTAATACAGATTTTACAGATGTTTTTAAAATATTAAAGAAATACCATGAGCATCTTTATTACAAAAATTTGACAATTTAAGTGAAATGGGCCAATTTTTTGAAAGACATATATATGAACTACCAAGGATCATGCAAGGAAAAATATATAACCTGAGTAATGCTATTTTTATTAAGTACATTGAATTTTTAATTAAAAATCCTCCAAGATAAACAAAATTCCAGGCCTAGATGGCTTCACTGGTAAATTGTATAAAACATTTAAGAATGAAATAATATAGATTCCAACCAACACTTCCAGAAAATTAAAAAAGTGTAAATACTTCCCAACACAAGAGGCCAACATTACCCTAATACCAAAGGGATTATACCCTAATGATGTAGGACTTGTAACATTACGAAAGACTTGTAATGTTACAACAAAAAACTCAAAAACCAAAACCAAAAAAAACAAACTACAGACCAATACCTCATGATCAAAGATGCAATTTTTTAAAAAAAATTAGCAAATTGAAACTATCATACATAAAAGATAATACATCATAACTAAAGACAAAGTATGCAAGGTCGTTTGAATATCTGAAAATCAATCAACATGGGACATATACACAATAAAATACTAGCCATAAGAAAAGATGAAATACTACCAATGTAATTAATCATATTAACAGACTAAAATAATGGAACACAATATGATAGCTCTTAATAGATACAGAAAAAAAACATTAGACAAAATCCAGAATGCATTCCTGATAAAAATTCAACAAATTAAGAATAGAATGGAATTTCCTCAGCTGGATGAATGGCACATACAAAAGCCTATAGGTAACATCATCATACTTAGTAGAGATATACTAATGTATTTTACCTGAGATCGATAGCAAGATAAGGACTTCTCCTCTCACCACTCCTATTCAGTATTATGTTTGAGGCTATATCCAGTTCAATGAGTCAAGAAAAATAAGTAAAAGGTCTTCAGATAGGGAAAAAGGAGGTACGGATATTTTGTATTTGCTGACAGCATGAGTATCTCTATAGAAAAATGAATGGAATCTACAAAAAAGCTACTAAATCTATTAAGTGAATTTAGCAATATGTTAGCATAAAAGATTTATGTCCATATACTAGCAACAAACATTCAGAGAATAATGTGTGGTTGTGTATGTATGTGTGAGAAGAGAGAGGGGGAAAGTGAAAGTTGTGGGGGGAGAAAATGTGAATTACTATTATATCAAAAACTTTTTTAAATGTTTACTTATATTATAGATATTAAGCAGATATTGAGATATGTGAAATGTGATAATTGAAGCAATAAAGCCTGTAGAAGTAAGCAGAAGGGAGAATATATTCATAACTTTGGGGGGTAGCATTTTTTAAAACAAATACAAACAGCTTTAACAATAAAAATGATACACTGATCAACTTCATAATTAAGAACTTTAAAAGATATTGTTAAGAAATTGAAAAAGGAAAAAATACAGAGTGGATTAAGATATAAATTCAATTATGCCATCAGAGGGCTTGTATCCAGACTATATGGAGAATTTCTACCTTAATAATAAAAGAAAAGAAGTCCGTGTAGGAACCAAGACAAAAGACTTGAACAGATACTTCAGAAAAGAAGATATGTAAGTTATGAAAAGGTGCTCTACCTAATTAGTCATAAGGGAAATAGGAAGTAAAACCACAATGAAATGCCACCAGACATCTACTAGTATGGCTAAAATGAAATATTTTTAGCTATACTTTGTAAGAGCTGAAGGTATTCCACTTCCTCATCAACACACACTAGTCAACCTATAAACTGGTACATATGATTTGAAAAGATGTTTGAAAATATCTACTAATGGTGAACAAATGCATACCCTAAGATCCAGCAATTCCATCCCAAGATATCTAAACAAGAAAACTGTGAGCATATATGTTCAATGAAAGGCTTATATAAGAATGTTCATTGCTGCACTATTTTAATTACTGACAAGTAGCAACAGCCCAACTGTCCACCAATAGTACCAGGATAAGTAATGAACATAATATATCAGTGGTTCTCAAATGTTAGCATGAATCAAATTCATCTGGAGGCCTTATTAAAACTCAGATGGCTAGACTCCCAGCCCCACAGTTTCTGATTCAGTAAGTCAGAATTGGGCCTGAAAATGTGCATCTATAATGAGCTACTTTTTCTCAGGGTACCATATTTTGTGATCCAGCAGGCTACATCAAAGAGAACAGGAGCAAAATAACATGCATGATAAGGATTGATCTCACAAACATTATGTTAAATGAAATAAGCTAAATATTCAAGGTTATATGCTTTATGATTACAGACAAAACAGGCAAACTAATTCATGTTGATTCAGGATAGTGGTTATCTTTGGATGTGGGGATTCTTGCCTGGAAATGAGCAGGAAGAGAGCTTTCGTAGAGCTGGTAATGTTTAATTTTTTGACCTGGGTGCTGATATCATGGGTATGCTCAGTATATGAAAATTCATCAGGTGTAGATTAGGATTTATGCACTTTTCTCCCTAAATGTTATGCTTAAATTAGAATGATTATAAAAATAAGCCTAAAACTACTCCATTGTATATATAATTATACATAGTTTATAATCCATAAATGATGTAATTATATATTTATAAATTGCAATTACTTATTTCATGAAGAAGCAGTTCTGGGTTTATTTATATATCTATTGTTTATAAGTAGACAGTGAGTAAAGGAATTTAGACAGGAAGACAGGCAATTAGAAAACAGAAAAACCTGTAAGAATCTCAGGGCTTGGGCACTGAGTGTAATCCCTTATCTATAGCACTGACATGCATTGGTACTATTTTGATTCTTAGGATATAGGGACCACATTATTACTTTCGCAATGATTTATCCAGGGGTTGCAATCCCTCACTTTAATTTTTGCATAACTAGTAAAAGAAATTACAACATAAACAAGGATTTTTTTTTCTTTAAAATTTGCTACCTTGCATTTATTCTTCCAAAATGAAGAAGGGAGAAGTTGAACAGGTAAGTGTGTTTTCACTAATCGAGGAGACTGCATGCGTTTCAAATCCTCAACGCCTACAAGCACAAAAGTTAACGACATTATAAATGTAGAACCACAAAGGTCAATTACAGTATAATTAAGACTTTTAAAACATTAACCCCATCTATATGGCTTGAAATGGCTATATGGTTATATGGCCTTATGTACTTCTAAAATCTACAATGAGATTAAAAAAAAAGATAATTCTGGTTAGTTAGGCTGTTTCATTGCCTATGAATAGTAAGGTTTGTTATCTTTATAAGTGTCCATAAAATCCTCAGATATAAATGCCTTGATGAGGCAGAAACAGCAGTAGGTCAAGTGTCAAGATGTCTAAATTTTTCCTTCATTTATTTTCCTCTGTCTCATTTATAATGTAGGAAAATTGAACTAGAAGATTTCAAAATCCTATTCCAGGTTTCTTTTTTTGGCATTTTAATATATATATATATATATATATATATATATATATATATATATATATATACTTTTTTTTTTCTTTTCAATTACAGCTGACATACAATATTATATTAGTTTCAGGTATACAGCATAGTGATTAAACATTCATATCCCTTATGAAGTGATCACCCTGATAAGTCTAGTGATAAGTCTAGTACCCTTTACATCCCCATGAATATTTTTTAACTATTTGTAGTTCTTAATCCCTTTCCAGCTTTCTTGTATTAAAATTCTGAGATCAAATTAAGCTGTGAAGTTTATGGCTAATTTAAAATTTTTTAATAATGTAAGACCATATATTTCCATAATTATTTTCCTTGTGTTTGTGAATTTAAGCTAACTAGCAAGAAATATGATTCTATATTGGATCAAATGCTGAACTTTCAATATATAGTGATCATACACTATTTAAACATTAAAGACTCCCACCTGTTCTATGAAAAAATATACTCATCAAAATTTCCTTTTATGCAGATATTATCTTAGGGTGGAAGAGATGTATAATATCATTATTGGAATAACCAAATTCTTACTCTTCTATTATAGACACTTATGATGATACTGTCCAAGTTCTACATCATTTCCCATCATGATTCTTTCAGACACCACAAAAAGACAGGAGGATCTATTTACTCCTATAGTGAAAACATTAGGAAAAAATACCATTTGAAATTCCAGGAACTATAAATTCCATGAATGGCACTCGGTTGTATATTGCATCCCGTTTACATTTCTCTGTATCTCCATTGTTATAGATCAAATCCACTATTTCACTGACCCAGGTTGTTCCTGAAAATAATAAATAAATAAATAAATAAATAAATAAATAAATAAATAAATAAATAAATAAATAAAAGGGACTCTAAACTCTCTGTCAAGAAAAGTGCGAGAGGATCACAAGAAGTTGTGTAACATCAAAAACAAAAATGTGCTCTCCATTTACTTTCCCTTTCCCTCTTCTCCCTTTTCCTAAGAGATATCCTCATCTATCTTGAACATATATGAAGATCTGACAATTAAGTTCACAAACTTGTTGCAATGATGTTGCTAACCTTTTTTTGATATCAGAGGGACTATTCATTATGAATTTGTAGTTTACTATTTTGGAAGTGCTGAAAATGCTGCATGAAAAAGTTAGGCGACCTAAACATTTTGCCAACAATTCATGGCTCTTGCATCATGACAATGCACCAGCTCACATGGCACTGTCTGTGAGGGAGTTTTTAGCCAGTAAACAAATAACTGGATTGGAACACCCTCCCTACTCATCTGATCTGGCCCCCAATGACTTCTTTCTTTACCCTAAAATAAAGTAAATATTCAAAGAAAGACATTTTGATGACATTCAGGATATCAAAGGTACACCTCTGCAAGCCATTCCAGAAAAAGAGTTCCAAAATTTCTTTGAAGGGTGGACTAGGTGCTGGCATCAGTGCATAGCTTCCCAAGGGGAGTACTTTGAAGGTGACTGTAGTATATGTAGCACTTTTTCTAGGATGAGTTCACAAACTTAATTGTCCAAACTTGTACATATGTATTGTATGTGTGTGTGTGTGTGTGTGTGTGTGTGTGTGTAAAATCTGATTAAAATAATCATAAAAGTAAAACTTGAAAAGGAAGTAAAATATGGGGTATAAAAGAGACATTGTGTAGCTCATCTTCCTGTGTGGGATACATAGAAGAAGCAGCCAATTTTAATGTCTGACTACCAATTTGTATATTTCCTATTAATATCAAAAAGACTAATTAGGCTTTGGGACTGAAGAGTACTGAGTTTAAAAAGTTCAACATTTGGTGGAGGGGTGAAGGGAAACAAAGAGAACTTTGTGATTGCATCTGTGGTAACTAGTGTGTCACTAACAAACAAAAGATAATACATCCTGATTGAACAGAGTAGATCAAGTCACTCTGATCTTTATGAGATTGTGTATCACCAGTCTTTGAAAAATGGATCTAAAGTATGTGAGCACATGGTCTACTTAATTGTCTATGGAATTTGATGATGTGGTTATCAAGGCACTGGTAAAAAAGAGATTATAAGACATAGAAGAAAAATATCTTCTTAACCATTCCCATCTTCTTTTATCAAACAGGTAATGATAGTCACTAAATTGAATAATCATGGGTAGAAACTAAAAAAAATAAATTAAATAATCTGTGCAAACAGCAAAATTTTTGAAGGACGATCTGCACATGGATGCATTTTGGATCAGCTCCAGATAGTAGAGAACATTAGGTCTCATTTTATTTAGTCCTTTCTTGCTCCTTCTTGTCCTTAAATCATAAGTGCAGGACTCTCTCCCCCATCCTTTTAATACAGACAATTACAGAGCTAAGAAAAATGTGGGTCAAATTGATACTACACTTCAATAGTTTGCTGCCTGATCTGGCTTAGGCTTAAGCAATGCTTCACAGAAAAAGAAAGAAAAAAAACAAAACCTAAATTCTAAAGTACAACATAACACATTTTATTTTCTATCAGTGGGTGTTTCAAATTGTGGCCAATGAAATCTAATTGGAAAAAATGCCAACTTAGTTATGCTTTGAAAAATGTTTGTTTTGCTATTATTTTTGATAAAAGAAAAAAAGACCTGGTTTAGCGCATATAAGGAAGTAGTTAATTTGGATCTTTTAAAACAAAATTAACAGGGCACTTTTATATTAATGGCTTTAAGATATGTTATTGACAGCTTGTAAAGGAAGCAAAATTCAAAATATGACTAAAGAGTGTACGATTAATTTATGTGTAGCCATTAGCTATCTAACTTTTACTACATCAGAAAAAATTCAGCTTCAAAGAGCACTTTTGTAGATAAACTATTTGTGTAATGGTACCTTCCAAAGATTATCTTAATGTTTCCCTGCTGGTAAATATATAAAAAAAATAGCATAAGCAAAAAAGCATGTGCATTCTCAGTGATTGCCCTTCCTTTTCTAAACTTGTACCTCAACAAGGAAACGAAAGGTAATTTTGGTCCTGAATAATTTTGGTACGGTAAACTGCTCAAAGAGCAACGTGAGCAGTAAGGAAAGAAAGAAAAAACAAGCTTGTTTTTTATATCTACAAAGCTCTGTGTGGTACATTTGTTTCCTTTCTGGTAGAGCCCTTCGTTCTCATGCAATGTCTGTAATGTTGGCACATTAGAATTCCTTAAATTCAGGGCTTTCCTCCCAGGACTTGTTACATATTCCTTTGAAGTAATTTTAATATTTACAATCTAAAAAAGAAGATCAGTGGTCTGTATACTTACTTAAAAATGCCTTTTCCTCACTTCCTTTAAGAAATGAGGCAGGAATATAAAAGAAAGTTGACTTTAGAGAATTTAGTAATTAGAACAATTGATTATGGGCTCAAGTAAATTAATTTGACAAAAGGCGAGAGAGCCTCATTTCTGTTCTATTTCTCTGTACATTTATCACTGGGAAAATTGAAAGATTCTGTCATAAAAAGATCTGGGGAAATAAAAGTTATTAATTCTTATTGAATCACCTTCAATTCTCTTCTCTGAGACCATATGCTTAAGTCAGCAGTTGTTTAAATTTATAACAAAGTATTTCTAAACATATTTATAAAATATGTTTAAAATAATAAAATATGAATTTTTGACAAAATATTTTTAAAATATTAGAACAAACTATATAAACATTAAAATGTATAGCAGATATATATACATATATTTATATTCTAATCCAATAGAATCATTTATATATCAGTTTTAATAATTTGTATTTGAAATTAAAAGGGAAAATAAGACAAACAGCATTAATTTTTCTTCAGAAAGAGCCGTCATTTAATTGCAGACCTTTCAGAATAGGCGGTGAGTTTTTCTAATTTGACACAAAACTATTTCAGCAACAGCTACAGTGTTCCCTTGACTAGTGATCTGCAGATCAGTGGGCTTACACATATGGATCAATAACTAATCAGCAAGTACAATTGGCCCTTGAACAACATGGAGTTAGGGCTGCCGACATTAATGTTTGGCTCCCCAAAAACTTAACTACAGATACCCCTCATTATTTGGAGGAAATTGGTCCCAGGACCCCATGGATACCAAAATCCACAGATGCTCATATATATATAAAATAATGTAAAACAATGCATACAGTCAGCCTCCCACATCCATTGATTCCCACCTGGGGATTAAAATACTGTTTTCTATCTGTGATTGGTTGAATCTGTGGATGCAAAACCTGGGGATATAGATGGCTGACACTATATTTATTGGAAAAAAATTTTGTAAATAAGTAAACCTGTGCAGTTCAAACCCATGTTGTTCAAGGGTCAACTGTACAAATAAATGAAAAGATCTTACCAGATTTGGGGTAGGTGGAGATCAAAAGGTCATCTGGTCGGCTTTCAAATGACTCCACCTGGGACCATGCCTCAACCATGCTCCAGAAGAGAGGGACACCCTGAATATCCACCAACTCCCTTCTCATGTAATCCAGCTTGTTGTCCATTTTTGACAAACTGGATTTTATACAAAGGGGAATATGTTAGAAAGTCTGTGTTTTAATAGCATTGATTGAATTAAAAAACAAATTAATATTTAATTAAATAAATTAAAATTACTCTAGATCCAGCAGCATCATATTATGCTGTATATCATAATACACTGTAATTATGAATCAGTGTAAGAAGAAAAGGTATTATTAAAAACTAATGAGGTCTTGGGCCAGGCGAGTGGCACGTTGGTTAGGAGTTGGCTTGGGAAGCCAGCTCTGAGCAGCAGGGCCCTGGTTCGGATCCCACATGAGGGGCAGTGATGCTGTGCCCTCTACAACTAAGATGATGAACAGCAGCTCAACCTGGAGCTGGGCTGTCATGAGTCACCAGCGGCAGCATAGGCTGCAGTGGGGCTAGCGGGCAGCTGGCGTGAGCTTTAGGCAGTGGCTGTCCAATAGCAGGTGAGCCACTGCCTCACCTGGGAAGAGCGCAATGATAATACCAACATGGGCCAGTGAAGCAACGCCCTCCACAACTAGACTGAAGAATAAAAGGACAGCAACTTGTCTGTTCCCCTCCCCCAATTCTCCAATAAAATCTTAAAGAAAAAAAAAACCAACCAAAAAACGAATGAGGTCTTGCAGAATTTATTTCACATGTGCTGTTTATATGTTAAATATCATCAACACATTTCATCAGTGTACTGAATATCATACAGCATTTCCTCAGGCAAAGATTTCTGGGCTATGTAATAAAGTTATTGAACTTTGGAGTCAGGAGACAGTGTCTCAGCCACAGTGCTGCCAATTCACTGCAGTTGAAATCTGGATAAGCCTCATAACCGCCCTGGGCCTTCTTAACTATATAATCAGGAGTTGCCTAACTTAGTACCTGCCTTAAATTATTGTGTGGGCTGGTAAATGATTATATCTAAGTTATCTACAACAGGCCACAAAAATGAAAGTGTGTGTGGAGGAAGGGTAGAGAAGAGAAATGAAATGACAAAAAGGACAGGGTAAAAGAAAAGAGCTTCAGGTAAGTGTAGCATTGGAAATATAATGCTCTGATGAAGTTTTTAGCACCAGTGATATTATATGTTGTTTTATAGTCTGGGCAGGGCTCTAATGAAGGCACATTCATTCCTCTTTAGTTGTCATATATAAACGTGGAAGAGCTTAAAATATATCCTAAGTCCTACTTTGAAATATGTTTCCCAATTTAGCATGAGCTGAGTGGTTATTTTTCTTTCTCTAAAGGTCTAGAAAAATGGAGACTATTTAACAATCTCAGGTTTAAAGGGCTTTCTGAGGCCCTCTAGCAGCTGCTGAATCTTTCTTTAAGAATTAAAATCAGAAGTCCCTGGAGTCATAGATATAATTTAATCTGTACCTTTTCTGAAGTGCAATCTTTTTTATTTCTATTTTTTTCAAGCCTTCCCAACGCTACCCCTACCCTACCTCATCCAAATACCTTTTATTTTAAAAGCTTATAAAGTTGCAGGATACAAAAATCAATACACAAAAATCTGTTGCATAGCTATACACTAATAAAAACTATCATAAAGAGAAATTAAATAAAAAGTCCCATTTACAACTGCATTAGAAAAGAATAAAATACCTAGGAGTAAATTTAACCAAAGTGGTGAAAGACCTGTACACTGAAAACCATGACATTAATGAAAGAAACTGAAGAAGATGTATAAATAGAAATATATTCTGTGTTCATATATTTGAAGAATTAATATTGTTAAAATGTCCATACTACCAAAACTAATTTACACATTCAGTGCAATCCCTATCAAAACTCCAATGGCATTTTTCACAGAAATAGAACAAACAGTTCTAAAATTTGTATGGAACCACAAAAGATCCCAAGTAGCTAAAGCAATCTTGACAAAGAAGAACAAAGTTGGAGGCATTACACTCCATGATTTCAAACAATATTACAAAGCTATAGTAATTAAAATAGTATGGTAGTGGCATAAAAACAGGCACATAGATCAGTGAAACAGAGTAGAGAGCCAAGAAATAAATCTATAAATATATGGTAGATTAATTTATGATAAAGAAGCCAAGAATACACTCTAGGGAAAGGACAGTCTCTTCAATAAATGGTGTTCAGAGAACTGGGCAGCCACACATGCAAAAAAGTGAATCTGGACCACTATCTTACACCAGACACAAAAATTAACTCAAAATGGATTAAAACCTTCAATGTAAGACCTGAAATCTAGAAGAAAACATGGGATTGTTTTCTTAATTTCTCTGACATCAGTATTGGCAATGATTTTCTGGATATGACACCAAACACAAAGGCAACTAAAGTAAAAATAAACAAGTAGGACTATATCAAATTAAAAAGCTTCTGCATAGCAAAGGAAACCATCAACAAAATGATAACATAACCTACCAAATGGGACATAATGTATCATATATCAGATGTATATCATATATCATATATATCATATATCTGATAAGGGGCTAATATCCAAACTATATAAAAAACTCATACAACTCAATAGCAAACAAAATAAAAACAATATAACAAAATCCAATTTACAAATGGGCATTTTTCTACAGAAGATATATAAATGGCTAACAAGGACATGAAAAAAATGCTCAACACCACTAATCATTTGGAAAATGCAAATCAAAAGCCACAATGAGATATTATCTCACTTCTTTAGAACAGACAAAAAATAACAAGCATTGGTGAGGATGTGGAGAAAAGGAAACACTTGTGAAGTGTTGGTGAGAATGTAAATTAGTACAACCGTTATGGAAAATAGTATGGAGGTTTCTCAAAAAGTTAAAAATAAAACTAACATGATTTGGCAATTCTACTTGTGGGTATTTATCCAAAGAAATCAAAAACACCAATTTGAAAAGATATATGCACCCCATGTTCATTGCAACATTATTTAAAACAGCCAGCACATGAAGATCACCTAAGTGTATACCAAAAAATGGATGGATAAAGATGATATGGTATATATACACAATGAAATATTATTCAGCCATAAAAAATAATGAAATCTTACCATTTGTGACAACATGGATAGACCCTGAGGGTATTATGCTAAGTGAAATAAGTCAGACAGAGAAAGACAAACACCATTTGATCTCACTTATATGTGAAATCTAAAAAACAAAACAAAACAAATAAATGATGAGTTCATAGATACAGAGAGTGGATTGGTGATTGCCAGAGGTGGGATTCCAGAAATATGCAAAATGAGTGAAAGGGGTCAAAGGGCACAGACTTCCAATTATTAAAAAAACAAGCCATGGGGATGTAATATACAGCATGGTGACTATAGTTAAGAATACTGTATTGCATATTTAAAGTTGCTAAGAGAGTCAATTTTAATAGCTCCCATCACAAGATTAAAAAATTTTATAACTATGGTGGCAGATGTCAGACTTATTGTGGTGATCATTTCACAATACATACAAATATTGAATCATTCATTACATTGCATACCTGAAACTAATATTACATGTCAATTATCTCAAAAAATAATATTGTCTATTTCCTTAAATTAATTTACTCTGATTGTAAGATATTATGGTTGAAACTATTTAACAATTATTTTCTGATTAAAATCCAATTCATTTTATTGCACAAGAATTTCATGAAAGAGCTGCAACTTTATCCTAACTAACACAGCCTCAGAACACAGAAAGCCTATAAATTTATAATGATAGCCCTCAGATACTTTTACATTTCCCTAACCACTCCATCCCTCCCCCCCAAAAATGAAAACCTTGGGAGGAAAATATAATAACAGGAAAAAATAATTTTAATATTTGTTAAATTTAATTTATGATCATGATTGCTTTCCTTATAGATTAACTTTTCAAAGTAGCTAAGGTTTGTGCCTTACTTCATATTTCTCAAATCTTGCCCATGGTCTTTTCTTTTTTTTATATTTCTATTAGACTGGGCCTCAGCTTTCCAGTTGCCTTACCTTGTTTCTTCCCAGTTACCCACAGCTTCTTTCTTTCACAAGAAACAGTTGTCAGGCTGGTACTAAAATGCAGGCTTCTTTACTCCAAATCAAGTTCTTTAACTTTTTTCTTTATTACATTAAAAAACCATTCAAATGAGAAATGTTTTAGGGCATCACTGCTACATAGTATGTAATCAGCACTTCTGATGCCAATATGTAAAAGCTCAGTGAGATGCTGACCATCTCTACTCATTCTTGCCCCTGTCCCAGCCCCATTACAAGTGACCTGTTTTGCAATTCATCCCATGAATTACAGGCTTTGTGCTATGACCACTTATATTAAATGCATCTAAGCTGATACAGAATTTCTAGGAGAGATTTTATAATCTTCCTGGAATAAAGTTTCTAGAAATTCCTTCCATATGTATTCAGTCCATTAATGTTTATCAGATTCTTACTTTGTTATGAAGTAGAGGTTTATCCACAAATAGAGGAAAATTGACAGTGATGCTGCTTAGAAGTATTTTCTCTGTGGAAAGAGCAAGAGTTAATTTGGAGAAGAGAACTTCCCAGCCAGGAAATAGCATGTAGAAATACCCTATGATAGGCTAGAGAAATAAGGTCTATGTGCCTGGAGTGCAGAAAGCGAGGAGGAGTGGTTAATACTATGCCAAATTATGTGGTAAGAAACTAGAGATTTCAGGGTTATTTTGGGGTTATTAAGTGTGTCTGGGATATACTCGGTTTCTGACTAGTCTCTTCCAGAACAGGCGTGTCCAGTGCCCTGCAATTATGCAGTTTCGAATACAGTTCTGTATTAGTATGAGAGGGTGGTGATGTGTAGCTGATCCTGGGATGTTCCTGAGTGTCACTGTGGGAGGAGTATGTTATTAGATGTTAGTTTTTTGGGTTTTTATTTTTTGCTTTAACCAAGTCTTGGGATTTATAAATACCATAAAGTTTCAATATCAGTAGGTAATAATGTTGATTCTAGTGTTTTGCTATACCTCAAGAGTAAATTTATGACAGCATTGTGCTATGATTTAATCATGTTGGTACTGTACTATTTCCT